GAGTCCCTGACATAGAGTGAAATCAGAAGTGATTGCCTCGGGGCTCAAGTTTTCATGCCCTCACTTTCCTGGACACATATCTAATCTAGTGTTGAGTTTGTAAGCATTTTTTAAAATTGTTTTTTCTTTTAAAACGTTCCCTCAAGAGTTCCACAAGCTTCAGGCCCCACAAAACCTGGACCCAGCCAGGTTGAAGTCAGAAGCAATGCCATGGGATAATGGGAGAGAAAGGGTTGGAAGAATCCAGTTACTGTCCTCAAAGGATGAGACGGGTCAGCAGAGGAGGCCAGAGAGGCAGAGAGGAGGCCTGCAGGCCAGGGTGCTGCAGGGAGATCAAAGGAATGCTGGCTGAGGATGGGTCAGTGGACTTGACCTCTTAAAAAAGTGACTGATTTTAGCACACACTCAGTATGGGGTTGGGGGGGGGGGCTCAGGTTGGAGGGGGGCTTGAGGAGTGGGAAGTGTGCAGTGGGTGCCTCATCTGAGGAGGCTGACATAAAAGACTTTTGACTTTTGCCTCTATAGTCAGTGTTCCTTTAGGATTAATATTAACTCCCCCTGTCTTTCTGTTTTATTACATTTCCTACTCCTGGAGATTTTCTGTGGTCTTAGTTGGATCGATTTCTCTTCATAGTTAGTGTAAGCCTGGTTAACTGCTAAGAAATGGGCTGTTGGCTGTTTTGGGGATTTTTTGTTTTGTTTTGTTTTGTTTTGTTTTGTGGCTACCCTAATAGATTCTCTTTTCTATCCACACGTAGGCCGTATATTCTGTCCTGGAGTTCAGGGGCAGAGACCCAAGGTGGAGAGGTGAGGCCATCAAGCTGCTGAAAAAGCGTTATCTGGGCTCACCTAGGCAAAGGTAGCGATGACTTCATCCCCAACGAGGGCGCCACCCCACCCCTGCAGCTGACTTCCCATCAGCAGGTTGGCCCGGATAGGTTTTCTTGGACTCCTTTCCCATTGCCGGGCATTACTAGTCACTTTGAAAAATATGCGATTAAGCTGTTCTCCCGTTTCCTCCAGTGCGGAGCCTTTCCCAGACACCGTCTGTTCCTATAACGAAAAGGTTCCTGTTATAGTCACCACTGAGAATTAAAAAAAAGTAAACTTACAGGTTGGCCGGCCCGAGCCGAGAGAGGAGCTGACCTTTGGAAGCTCCTTCGCGGGCTGGGAACCATCCACCCAAGCGCTGCCTAGTGCTCCAGGGAGAAACACGTGTGTGGGCAGAGGATGCCCTGGTGCCCATTTGGGGGGTGCGCGCGCGCCCGGGGGCCCCGGGGCAGGGTGCGGGGGAACTGCCGGCAAAAGTCCCTTTGGGGGAGGGCTCCTTGCCGGTTCCGAAAGCCAGCTTGGGGCCTCCCCCTTTTGCTGCTTTCCCCCGCGAAAACTGGGTTCTTGGGCCGGCCCTTACATCTCTGTCCCCCACCGCCCTACTTTCTTGTGTGCGCGACCACCCGGCTCCGGAGCAGCCTTCGGGGGTGGGGAGCGCACGCCAGGTCGTGGCTTCCAGGCCCCCGGGGCCCCGCGCAGGTGAAGGTGAGCGCGGCAGCGCGCCGCCGCGTGGACAGAGTGAGAGGG